TCTGCCCTGTTCCGCTGGCCATGTAGCATTTCTATTCATTTGTCTCCCAGGTCTGTCGCTGCTGGTGTCCGCCCTTTTGCCCTGGCCATGTAGCATTTCTATTCACTTGTCTCCCAGGTCTGCCACTGCTGGTGTCTGCCCTGTTCCGCTGGCCATGTGGCATTTCTATTAATTTGTCTCCCAGGTCTGTCGCTGCTGGTGTCTGCCCTGTTCCGCTGGCCAAGTAGCATTTCTATCAATTTGTCTCCCAGGTCTGTCGCTTTTCATTTGTCTGGTCTTGTCTCCCTTCTTGTTGGTCATTGTGTCCGTCTTGTCTCCCTTCTGTTTCCTTTTGTCTCTTTTCTGTTTCCTTTTGTCTTCCTTCTTGGCTCCCTTCTGATTCTTGTTGGTCATTGTGTCCGTCTTGTCTCCCTTCTGTTTCCTTTTGTCCCCCTTCTCGTCTCCCTTCTTGTTGGTCATTGTGTCCGTCTTGTCTCCCTTCTGTCTCCCTTCTGTTTCTGGTCTGAGTCTTGTCTTCCTTCTTGGTGGTCATTGTGTCCATCTTGTCTCCCTTCTGTTTCCTTTGTCTCCCTTCTTGTCTCCGTTCTTGTTTGTCATTGTGTCCGTCTTGTCTCCCTTCTGTTTCCTTTTGTTCCCCTTCTTATCTCCAGTCTTGTTGGCCATTGTGTCCGTCTTGTCTCCCTTCTGTTTCCTTGTGTTTCCCTTCTTGTCTGCCTTCTTGTTAATGCCTCAAAAAGTGCACTTGGGAATGCTTCGTTGTTGTCCCTCCTGTTTGGAGTCTATTGTTGGAGCCAATCGTGAAGAGTGAAAACATTTCTTCTGTCTATGCCGTCCTTGGAGCAGGCCAACACGCTGGAGGAAGAGGGGCGCATGGATGAGGTGCCTTTTCACATTCCCTTTCCTGTCCTTGATGTTTGGATCATTTCCTCCTTTTGTTGAATGTTTGAGTACACAGTCTGATTGAATTTGATATGCCAATGACACTTGAAGGCCATGAAGCTTCGGCGCAACGTGATGGAGTCAAGGGAGCGAGTCTTCGGCCCCTTGCACTGGGCAGCTTGGCTTCGGTTTCTTCTGGCAGTGTTTTGCAGTGCTTGAGCCTACATATAGATACATACGCTGTCCATGCTTGATGGGCTGACGCACATTCAGGATGTTATTATAGGGTCGTTATGTAGACGGTAAGTGTGGTAATGATTTTGTTTACGGTCAATGTCGGCACGCGGCCGAGGATACGCTGTGGAGCCTGGACCGCTTGTCACACCTTTTGCTGGCCACAGGGCACATAGCAGAGGCTGAGGTCAAACAACGGCAAGCAGTAGAGCTGCCAGACTGCAAGTATTTCTTAGGATGAGCCCGCTCGTTGGAGCCATACACTGTGAGTGAAGAGGCATCATGAGTGCCAGTCTCGGCGCTAGCTCGCGGCCAGCACAGTCGAATTCGGAACATTGGAGTCTCCTCATGGGTGATGATGAGTCATGACATGGGATTGGAGAGTCTCTACGCGGCTCAGGCTTTGTGATTCAAGTAGTGTGCTGGGTGCCCAGGCGAAGAAGGCAAAAGCTCGGCACAGATCATGTGGAGACGCTGCGGAGCTCCAGAATCCTGGCCGAGCTCCTTGGTTTTGGCGTGAAAGAAAGTTAAGCAGAATTGTCCGATCATGAAGCCCTAATTATATAAGTTGCTCGAGTGAGTGGACTTGTAGTGAAAGTCTCTCGGCATACAGCTTCAGCGGGATTGAGTTTGGAAGCCCGCTTCCTAAGGCAGCTCAGCCTTCCGCAAGAATAGCAATCAACAATCATAGATATTCTTGGGAATTATCGCCAACTACCGCTTGTTAATATACAGTAGAGTATGCGGCACTGGCTGCGACTCACGCTCGCAGTGCAACATTTTCCAAAGGCAAGGCTGCCCATTCTGGCTGGACACTTGGCACGCTTTGCTCAGGTACCTGAAGCTGCAGGATAGCAATCAAAAGCTCGAGGAAGCTCATCAATTGCTGCAAAAAACAAAGAAAGATGATCAGCAGCTGCAGCTTAGAGGAACATTATATTCTGATAGGTGAAGCATGTGCACAGGTGTGACAGAGATGCGCATTCTAGTCATAGTTGCCAAATAGAACACATGCACACACACTCGGGAAATTGCGTATATACGGATTTGCGGTTTGCCACCCGCCAGCCTAAGTAAAAAACCTAAGGGTCCTGTAAGGCGGTCTGATCGTGCCGTCAGCAAAGTTTCAGGTCAAGAAGTGTTAAAGCCACCAAAGTTTCAAATCGAAAGCCCAGCGATCGACAAGTTGACAAGTACGGCGAAATCGTGCAGAGTCTGCCGACCTACCTCCACCTGAAGCAGCCTGAAAACAAGGGAGGACCATTGGAGTAGGTCCCATCTGTGATCATAGCTGCGGTGCGTGCGGTAGATCACAGATGCTGCACGCCCTTGCCTTCAGAAAAAACCAACAGGCCTCCTTTGACTCCAAGGGCTTCACACACACGCTGGGGGGTCCAACAGGTTAAAAGCTAAGGGGCAGACTGGTGTTCATATGCGCGCGCGCAAAAGACAAAAAGACAAAGATCAAAGGTAAATGTGCGCGTGCACCCCAATGACCGGACCGATGTGTGCGCAAAAGAAGGAAAGGAACGAGATGACAGGACATGAAGGCGGAGAAGACATATCAAAAGGGGAAGGAAGTGTGTGTGAAGGGGAAAGGATGAAGAGGGAACCAGATGGAAGGGCCGGAAACCAATGAAGCCAAGCCTCATTAAAATGGACTTGGGAAAACCTACTGTAGCCTGGTTTGTGTGTGTGCAAGCACCTAAGGTAGGGACAGGCCCCAATGGGCCTTGAGAGGACTGCGGCCGCTGTGGCCTACTCTGGGCATTCAGCCTGCTCTTGTCCGCTTCGGACTACTAATGGCATGCCCAGGAGGCGGCCTGCTCAAGCTCCATCAAAGCCAACAAGCCTTAACAGTCGTTTGGCATAACTCGTTGCGAGCTGCTCTGGTCCCGGGCGCGGGGACATAGACAAAACCCCGTCCACACCGACGGGGCCATAGGGGACACTCTCTGGGTACACCGTGGGCTGGCATGAAGCCAGGCACACTCAGTACTGACTTGCGGCTCGCCACCCGCCAGCATAAGTAAAGACCACCAGGAGCCAGGGTGGGTGGGTGTATGTAAGGCGGTCTGATCGTGACGTCATCAAAGTTTCAAGTCAAGAAGTGTTAAAGCCACCAAAGTTCCAAGTCGAAAGCCAAGCGATCGACAAGGCAACGAAAACGTGCAGAGTCTGCTGGCCTACCTCCACCTGAAGCGGCCTGAAAACAAGGGAGGGCCATTGGAGTCAGTGTGTTCTCAAGATGGGACGGGGTCAAGCGTCCTTGATCCCGCCCAATCTGTGATCATAGCTTCGTCGCACGCCCTTTCAGAAGCGCCAACAGGTTCATTTAGACTCCCAGGGGCACACACACACACTATATATCGCATAATGTTATAAAGCAAAGGGTGTCCAGACGGTCAGTGGTCAACCTTCCTCGTGTCAAGTGCCAAGGCTTGGGGTAGACCACAGCGAGACCATCAAGTGCATGCAGACGCCGCCCTTGCTGCAATCAGATGCAGTCAATGCCGACTTTACCGTGGTTTTGTTTCAAAGGCAGCTTCTCGATATGGCCCCGTCCAAAGAAACTACGTCCCACTCAGACGGTCAATTGTTGTCCGGGGAAGGCAGGGGGAACACGTTGCACGTTTTCTTTTTTAGGCTCGCAGACGTGTTGGCCTCCATGGGTGAGCTGACAAAGGCACTGACAGAGACATAGCCAGGGATTGAAGTTGACAGTCGCATGGTTTGGATGTTGAAGAGAATATGCTTGGAATGGTGTTGTTTTTTTTGCAGCGTTGCGCTTGTGCTCCAAAGCTTCAATTTGTGGACTGGTTTCGGAGTTGGGTGGCTAGAAGGCTGAAGAAGAGTACCGAGAAGTCCTGGAGTGCGGGAGCTCAAAACGACCGGCGCGGTGATGAAGCACCAGTGCTGATGCTGCATGGAGGGATTGCAGACATCGTGTGTGAACAAGGGCAGCCGGTAGATCTCGGTGATACATTTCATCCTATATTTATATAGCATGCCACTTTACTACCATCGTGCATCACACAGCCCGGCAGAGAGCTAGCAGTGCTTCCAGGCTGCTGCACTTACAATTATTGACTTGCTTTGGTACCAGCCTACCTACTGTATATATAGCTTGCATATCCCGAGCAATGTCTGGCAATGAAGACGCACTTGGGCAAGAGTTTGCGCGCAGGCGCAGAGTAATCGCGACGAGTGCCTGCGCTAGCTGTAGACAGGTAAGCTGCGCCGCAGTTTGTAGCTCAAGAGCAGGGCGAGTTTCGTTTCCTCCATGCTTGGGCTGATGAAAGCCAAGGCCGTGTTATCCCGACCAATGCCTTTCCGGATGCATCAAATCTCATGCGTTTTCCCAAGTAGAATGCTTGCGTGGTGCGTTTCGCTGCAGCGAAATGCACATTGTGGATTGGAGTGCGCAAACAAAAGTTGTAAAAAGCAGTTGTTCGACTGCAAGAACACAAGCAGAGGATCCAAAATGCCAGCATCGGTCTTATTTTTCTACTTCCACCGCAGCGGGGAGTAGACAAAATTCAAGATCCTAGTGTTGGCTTGGTTCAGCACTTTCTGCCGCAGGTTCCAAGATGGTTTCCAATTGTTCAATCTTTTCCACACGATGCGTGTGTGCATGTGACATCATTTGGGAAGCACATCCACCCCCGTCTTCCTAAGCGTGTGTGCATGTGACATCATCTTCAAAGCAACCGGAACGCGACGCACGTGACAGGCGCAAGGGCGGCGTATCAGCCACGGGCCAAAACAATAATTGCTCCAGCGGCTTCCTCTTGTAGGATGCCATTTCACAAGTCAGTATTCCGTGCAGCAATTCCTGTAAAACAGGAATGGGTTCCTAACTTCACCTCATTCATGTTTTCACGATGATCTGGAGGGGTGAATGTGCAGATACCTGTTTGACAGTTCATGAGCATGCTCACTGACATAGTGGCACATGCTCACAGAAATGCTCGCGTTCATTGAGGCTTTTGTCAAAGACGGTCGGGAAGGAGCATTCCTCTACAATTGAGGCACTACGAGGGACCACCCACAAGAGCGCGCTGAGAGGATAGTTGTGTGATTATGGCCGGCCCAGTCCCACTTGTAGAGTAAAGCACTCGGGACCAGTTCAAACACAATTGATGCAGACGGACACCACGGTGATTTCAAATGGTGAATGGGGCCATGCAGTTTACATATGATAGACCGTCCCTTTCGTTCACCAATGAATGAGGACACTGATGTGCCTGCCAAGGCCACAAAGAAGGCCCAAATTAGACAAAGGGGCCGAAGTGCCTTCGCCATGGAGCCTATGCACTCAACGCTTTCTGACTGGTCCAATCCAGACTTGGAACCTATTTTCTTGGCTGCCTCGACCACCATCGAGTTTCTCTTCTTGGTGGCTGTGGTAGCCTTTTGCAGAGTTCATTGCCAGCAGACTTGGAAGCCACTTGCCAGTCTATGTACTGTGCATCACTTTGTCTTGACTTGTGGAGCGTTCCTTGCCATGTTTTGTTCTTGGCCGTGGTTCGATCAGAGCCCCTCCCCACGGCCCCACGAGTGCAGTATGTAGAGCTGTTCCAAACTAGTACTTCTCATTGTCTGCTGATTTCTCGTTTGCCATCGATGTTTTGAGTTTTCAGGTGGCTGAAAAAGTGTCATGTAGTGCTGCCAGCCACGGGCATTTGGAGAGAGGACAATTGTGAAGACCGCTTGCTCATCGAGGAGGTGCGCACGGCACAGCTACGCATGGCGCATCGATTTATGAATGTGCTCCTTGGTTTCAGAGGAGGTGGCCCTGTGTAAGTTGGTGGTAGTGCCCACTCAGGTGGCAGGAACCATCGATATGATATATCATCCAACAAATTTCAGCCAGCATTTGCAGATTTAGCCCAGTCTACGCCCGTGTGCGACTCCTTCTTGGCAAGCAGAAGTTTGCAGTAGCATGGTGGTGGCAAATGTGTCTGCGAACGTGTAGGACTTTGCAGCAAAGTGATTGATGAATGAATCGATGAACGTGTGGTACATGCGTAGGCACTTCTGTATAAAGGTCAGATATATGTAGATCAACGCTTGTTTCAGGGATGCTTTACTGGATGACTGTTGTAACGCTCTCGAGGTGATATAGTATGGTCGGTTGCAGTAGCGTTCGACCATCACCTAGCAGGCTGCAAAACTGCAAAAGCCAGGCGCAGGGGCGTGGCGACTCTCCACAATGAAGTCTCTTTAAGAGACTTCCATGTGGAGGCTGCCCCGTTCCCCCCCTCACGCCGGGAGGGAGAAGCCACAGACGTTACCACTGTACAAACTTCCCTCGTGTCAAGAAGTAAGAGCACACTGGTCCAAAGATCCAAGGGAAACCAAACTGTCAACACAGGGAACCAACACAAAGCAACAGCAAAACAACGCCCACACAAAACGCCAGGGTTTCCCCTGCTCCTACGGACTGGGCTGCCAGGCCTCCGACCAAACCAGGGCTGTATAGGTGACGCAAGAGAGAACTGCGCAAGGTCAAAGTCGCGAAGTGATCTGCCATGGGGTCATCACATAGGCAACGGCCGTGAAGCGCCAGATGTTAAACAGGGACAAACAACACTGGACCGAGGACTCGTGCCATCCGAAAAGAAGGGAGCTGGTGCAAACCCTCGTGAGAGCACTGCACCAGGCTCGATCCGGTCTGTACACCTGCGATAGGAATAAGAAAGGTCTCGAAAGACCGCCCGGCCGGTCGTTCCCCATCAAAACAGACCCGGTGGGCCTGAACAAAAAATGCAAATGTGGATTGGATCCGTTAGCCGCACGCCAAATTATCATGAAAAGTTTTGGTCGCGCGTTACTCCCAGGGAGTCAGGAGGTGATGTCAGCCATGGAGCACTTAAGAACCTAGTCCCGTCGGGATGGAGCGTTTCTGGACTGAGCATTCAGAGAGGGCGACATTGGCAGCACCACGGAAGAGGTGGATCCGGCTGGGTGTTGTAGCGCTTACACTGTACACACTGTTTGTCACCACATGCACTCTAAGCCAGAGTGGCAGCCAAAGCTTTAGTTTCACAAAGTAGCGGGGCTTCATGTGTGAGCCCAGTGAAACAGGGTAATTAGCTAGTTTGGTGTATATAGTCCTTTATTCCTAAAACGACTTTGAACCAAAAGGTCATTTCAAAACGCAAACAGTGGATGGGTGCCAAAATTCGATGCTTTTGAGGCTAGCAGCCTTGGCGAACGGCACCACTGCGCTCTATCAGTCGAACATTCTGCGTGAGAGACAGAGGTGGATGCCAACTGAATTCATTCTGCCCCTCATAGGAATTTGCAATAATTTTGCTGGGTTGCCTAGTTGTTTTCCAGCATGATTTCTTTTGAGAGGGGACTTGCGGGCAAGGTGTTTGTTGCCGATATCGGCAATGGCTACTTTCCACTTAGCTTTTCCAAAGATGGTGACCCGACAGACAGTGAACTGGCTCTACTGCTCTGGGATGGCATGCGGTATGATAGCCCTGTCTCCCATTGGCAGCCCTGCTTTGGAGATGGGATCGCTGTCATTGTCCCTCGCATACACTGCGTTTTTCCGTTTGCCAGCAGTCACCTTAGCTACGCACACCTCAGTTGTCATAATTTGCAACCTGGTCTCCTTTGCGCTGCTTCTGGCCCGGGCCTTGTCAGAAGGATTCCTGGTTGAGAATCGAAGTGCTGCCCTTGCAACCGCAGTTTGGGTTGAAGGCTTGTCTTGTGTGGTGGCGGTCCTTGTTTGGGGTTCTCTGCAGCAACTCGGCGGCCACGCAACCGGACTGATGCATGGGACATCCTGAAACAAAGTGGGTTTGAAAGCGAGACAAGGGGCGAACCTGTGATTCTGGACTTCAAGCAGAGAGGTGACTTGAAGTCCCACACAAGCCCTTTAGAGCTTGCCCATTTCCATGCTTTGTTTTTAGACATTTGTAGACCCGGAACATTTCCAAAAGCATTTCTTCGTTTCTTGCCTCGAGGACTTGACTGATTTTTGTTGACTTAAAGAAATCGGATCCGAGGCAAGCGCTCCGAGGGGCCGCTGCCCACCGCTTGCACCATCGGCAGGTGAAGGCGGAGCTCAGCGCAGCGAGCTCTTTGCTTCGCTTGACTTGCGATGCCGTCTTGGAGCTCGATCCAAACCTCCGCTTGACCAAGCACTCCCCGGAGCTGGCGGCGGTGTTGCTCAGAGATCGGCCAGGAGCTTCTTTGGAAGCTTGGAATGAATTCAGCTGCAGCTTGCTGCGCAAATTGGCTATCAGTCAGGTTTGACTACGAATGGCTACACCAAAGCCGTTTCAACAGACGTCAACAGATGTCGGCATCGTTTCGTTTGAAAGCTAAGGAAGGTTCACACCTAACAGACTTTATGCCTGCTGCTGAAGCCGCGCGGGCCAAGGAGATCCTTGCGAGAGTTGATGAGGATGAGAACAAAGACGGTGCCACTTGTGCCAGCGCCTTCCACACACGTCACTAGGTTGCTCCCCTGTTGCTAGTTCAGCTGCCCAAACTGCCTTGTCAAGCTTTTTACAAAAGATAGCCAGGAATGCTTGTCAGCGTCCCTCCTGTGCGCCACCCAGGTCTTGTGGACACGTGTTCCAGCCGCTTTCGCACAGAAGTTTTTCAAGTGCGGTACCAGCAGGTGGATGGTCAAGTTCGTCACCTCATTGGCCTCCGGGACTTTACAGACCAACAGTCCCTGGCACGCAAAGCGACCGACGAGATCTGTGAACCAGAAGTGCCGAAGCCTGCAGAGACGGCACATAGCCCAGACGAAGAGAGGAAACACGACTTCGAGGATCTTCTAACACTGTTGGAAGTCGACCTCGATTGCATGCAGGTGGGGCCTAGTTATACATCACAAAAAGGAGCTGCATCAATAAGACAAGAAGCGCCTCAGAAAGAATCACCACGAATCACAAATCACGAAGCTTCGGCTCCCTGAGTTCTCCGCTTCACCAAAATGATGTAGGGGTGGTGGAAGCCTCCACTGCTTGATTTTGAAAAACAATCAGCGTCCTTGTTCCTAGTAGTAAGGCCAGGGGCCCCTAGTAGCGATGCCCTTTGCTCCTAGTAGCGATGCCCTTTGCTCCTAGTAGCGATGCACTTGCTCCTAGTAGCGATGCCCTTTGCTCCTAGTAGCGATTTCAGATGTCGGGGGCCCCCCCTTCAACTCCACCCTGCGCCGCTCTGTGTTTAGGAGTTTAGGAGTGATGCTGCTACTGCTGCTGGTTGCTGCTCCTGGTGCTGTTGCTGCTGCTGTTCCTGCTGGTTTGCTGCTGCTGCTTGAATCCATTTGAATCCTGAAGGCTGCTGCTTGCTCAAGTCCCCACCCACCTTTTTTCAATTTCGTGTGCGCAGCCCCCCCAAACTGTACAAAAACCAAAGGTCGTGCAGGCAAAAATTGTGTGAGCTTCGGTGCTTTGCTTTTGCTGCAGCTGCTGCTGCTGCTGCTGGCTGCTTGCTCCTGCTCAGAATCTTCCAACCTTTACCTTCGTCCACCTCGGGTGCCTCTCAATTCAATTCACTCATAGGCATACTCCATCCTATTCCCCTTTCCTGTTTTTTTTTTGGTCCCCTTGGTTCCGTGGTCCCTCCCACCCTGCAGGTGAGCTCGGCATCTTCTTCCCTCGCCTGGATGGCTGGGAAAGACCTCGGCGAGGTGTTTAGTTCAGATAGCGCCGAACTCTTTCAGAGAGCTCGCCCTGAAGTCTTGCTTCTTGAAACCCAGCGAACGCTTAAGAACAAGACACTTCACTTTGGCAACCTGAAGTCTCTTGGCCATTCAGGTTCTGGGTGGGGGGTCAGCATCATTCAGCTGTTAAATCAGCAACACAAACACCCAAAGATGCAATGGCCAGAAAGAATTCCACAATTATATATTAGGTTGGAGGCCATCGCTATTAGGGTGGAGGCCATTGCTTCTAGGTTGGAGGCCATTCCACGCCATTAGGTCAGGTGTAGGCAAGGACAGACAGTCTGACTATGAGTCATGGGTCTTGTCGGTCCAGTAGTCTAGTCTAGGTGTTACATTGTTTGAGAAAGAGACTGATTTCGGGAGTGCGTTGATCCCGGATGTTTGCCATCGCGTTGCTCTGAACCTTTGTTGCCTTAGGCTTCGCTGCGGAGATTCTTATCACACGATTGCTGGTGCTATGGAGCCAATGCGCAGCACCTCCCGCTTGCGAATGGCCCTATGCTTCCAAATGCCTGCGTCCTTAGGTTGCTCAGATGCTCATCAGGGGAGTGCTTTTGAGCTTCTCCCTTTCTCAACCACTTGAAATCACCCGCTTTTCTTGTCGGATTCTTGCAATTTATTTCTTCCAACTTCGTGATGTCCCTTCCAGGCTTTGCGATCAAAGCGCGTGGAACACCCTCCAGTGGGAGCTCAGCTGACAGTTGCAGACTGAACGACCTCTCCTTGTAAGAGCAAGACTGGCTAGAGTCTTTGGCAGCTGAAGGCTGCTTTGATGGTTCTTTAGTAGACTGCTGGAGTAGTTGCCCCAGTTGCCCCGAAATTTGGGCATCACGCGCTACAAGTAGAGTGCTGGGATTCATGGTTTAGATGCGCAGACAGAAGTGCATAGACGCGCGGGCGCGTATACAATTTCTTTGAAATAAAGGTGTTGTCAGAAGCGGTAAGATCAGCAGATGGACGTATGACCATACGGTTCCCTGCGCATCGCTAGATCCAGAGTCGTTTGCATGCAATTCAGCGGCCGCCTAGATACCTGTGGGGCAGTCGCAGCTTCTGAGGGCTGCGGTTGCTGTTGCTGGTATGTCCAATAGTTTTTTCAGCATGCTGTGTGGAACCTCTTCCATGGGACTCTTTTGAGATTGTGTATGCGAGTGCAAAGGGTGCTTTCCAAACATCTGTCACATGGTCAGTTGAAGTGGAGATTTGAGGTTGCTGGCTCTACACTAACGTTTGGTTTGTTCCAAGCCATGTGAGTTGCCCATGTAGCGTGCTTGTCCGCACGTCAAAGAGAGGCCAATGAAGATTCAAGTCCTTGCTTTTCAGCGAGGTTCATTCGGGTAGATTGAAACTTCCCGATTCTCCTGGTGATAGAGCATGCGAACAGGCCCCATACATGGGCAGGGTGATGTTTTTTGACATACCCGTACCGACATGTGGCCGTTGGAATTGTATCCCAGCAAGAACGATAATCAATTGCATTTGATTAATTTATGCATTAGATGTAAAGGTGCAAGATGAACCCCTGAACATCTGAACACAGACGGGATTTGTCCTAATTGATGGCACACCGAACACAGAGTTTGCTTTGCCCTCGTCCTGGGAGCCTTGAATCTTGTGCCATGACGGGAAGCCGGATCCAGGTCCGCTACGCCTGGAGCTTTTCCCTATTTTTAAGCCGCAGTAGGATGCGAGGTAGGCCTGACGACGGCTTGCATCTCATGAAGGCAAAAAGAAAAGAAGGGCCAGCTCTCGTGCTATAATTATATATATATTCATTCATTCAAGGTAGGCAGGGTCGGTGATGAGGAAATATTTGTGAAGCTTCAAGTCAATGTCTCCCACGTTGCTTGGCTGCTCAAGCCAAAACTGGGAGACTCCCTTGAGGTGCAGTGCCACTGCAGACACCTCAAGATAAAAGTTTTTCATCCTTTGCTGCAATGTCGCTTTACAACTTGAAGGCGCGGTGTGCAGCTGAGCAGGACTATTTGGACCGCTGGTACGCTGAGCATGGCATTGAGGCGGCCTCTGCTCTTGCTTCCTCCATCTTACGCGGCTGCTCTGCAGTCGGACCGGGCAGGGGCCAAAGGTTGACGCACGTGGCTGAGACGCAGGTTCCGAGGCCCTGGGCAGGCTTCCTCTTGCCGTGCTGGCCCAGTGCAGGCCCTCGGGGAAGGACATGAGCCTGGCTGCAGTGCTGGGCAGGCTCTTGGGGGAGAATGTGAAGGACTTTGCTGGCCCTGTGCAGGCCCTTGGAGCTCGTGACCACGGCCCCCCTAGTCTGCCAGTTCTCCACTTTTCCAGTTTTCAAGTCTCACTTCATTTCTTTCATTTCCAGAATGTCAGCTGTTTCAATCAGTGGGCTAACTCATTACTTCTGATTCCCTCACAGCGGCAATTCATGCGTCGGCACGCGGCGACCGTTGCAGCGTGTGCTCCCGAGTGGCAGTGAATGTCCATGCTGCGTCAGCGGCAGAGGGCCATACCCCGCGGTTCGGGGCTGGGATGTTTTCTCTGCATGCCCCCCAGTCTGAGGATGTCCTTTCTGTGTTTCCAGTGTTCAAATTCTTGTTTTTCTGCATGGGCCTTAGTCAGGTTATGGACTTGGTCGCGCACCAGACTGAGGCTTTATGGAGTCCTTCGTCAGGTTACAACAAACTGTTCGTCCCTCGTGATGAAGTCTCTAATTTTGCCTTTTTCCGGACTGCCGGCCTGGACCGTGTCAGGAGCTAGGCACATGCGTCGCGGTCTACTGCGTGTGACGGCTACGTGATGAAGTCTTTGACTTTTCTCTTTTTCAGGACTGCCGGCCTGGTCAGGAGCTGGTCACATGAGCCGCGGTCTGCTGCGTGTGACGGCTAGGCCTGCGAGTCTCTCATACTGAGGTCTTTGATTCTTCTATATTTCAGTGGCAGCAGTCTGCAGGTGGCCGCGGGTTACTGCAATTTTTGACGATGTCGCGTTTACTCCAATACCGACCTGCGCGATTCCAGTCCAGTGGGTTTTGAGCAAACACTCATTTCGTCGCCAGCGACCTCGGGTGTTCGCTGCCGGCCGAGTACCACAGTTCAGGTCCACCAAATTTTCCGTTGCAATTTGATGTCTGATCCTCCTGGCCGCGGCCTGCCGGAAGCCAGATGATTTGCAGCTGTCGGCTTGGCTAAATGCTCTGGCAATGAGCAACTGGAGTGGTGCTATCTGCAGGATACCACTGCGTCCATGTCCATTTTCCAGCCACACTTTTTGACCGTCCATGATGGCTGCTGTCTGCATGAGGCCCATGCTTTTGCAGCTGTCGGCTTGGCTAAATACTTTAGTCATGAGTCCAGATACCCTTCGTCAGTGACATTGCGGAGCAATGGTAGGTCACTGCCACTGCGTTTGATCAATTTACAGTACAAGAGTTGGACATCATTTTGTCATTTCCACTCCACCATAGTCATACGAAACAAAGACTCTCAAGCTTGAAAAAAAAAGGAGGGGGCAGTGAATATTCATGCTGTATCAGCGGCAAAAAGGGCCAGACCCCGGAGTTCGGGGCTGCGACGTTTTCTCTGCATGCCCCCCAGTCTGAGGATGTCCATTCTGTGTTTCCAGTGTTCAATGCTTGTTTTTCTGCATGGGTCAGGTTATGGACTTGGTCGCGCACCAGACTGAGGCTTTATGGAGTCCTTCGTCAGGTTACAACAAACTGTTCGTCCTTCGTGATGAAGTCTTTAATTTTGCATTTTTTCCGGACTGCCGGCCTGAACCATGTCAGGAGCTGGTCACATGAGCCGCGGTCTGCTGCGTGTGACGGCTAGGCCTGACAGTCCCTCATACTGAGGTCTTTGATTCTTCTATATTTCAGTGGCAGCAGTCTGCAGGTGGCCGCGGGTTACTGCAATTTCTGACGATGTCGCGTTTACTCCAATACCGACCTGCACGATTCCAGTCCAGTGAGTTTTGAGCAAACACTCATTTCGTCGCCAGCGACCTCGGGTGTTAGCTGCCGGCCGAGTACCACAGTTCAGGTCCACCAAATTTTCCGTTGCAATTTGATGTCTGACCCTCCTGGCCGCGGCCTGCCGGAAGCCAGATGATTTGCAGCTGTCGGCTTGGCTAAATGCTCTGGCAATGAGCAACTGGAGTGGTGCTATCTGCAGGATACCGCTGCGTCCATGTCCATTTTCCAGCCACAATTTTTGACTGTCCATGATGGCTGCTGTCTGCATGAGGCCCATGCTTTTGCAGCTGTCGGCTTGGCTAAATACTCTAGTCATGAGTCCAGATACCCTTCGTCAGTGACATTGCGGAGCAATGGTAGGTCACTGCCACTGCGTTTGATCAATTTGCAGTACAAGAGTTGGACCTCTTTGGGTTACTGCACATCATTTTGTCATTTCCACTCCACCATAGTCATACGAAACAAAGACTCTCAAGCTCAAAAAAACAAAGAGGGGGGCAGTGAATATTCATGCTGTATCAGCGGCAAAAAAGGGCCATACCCCGGAGTTCGGGGCTGAGACGTTTTCTCTGCATGCCCCCCAGTCTGGGGGTGTTTCCAGTGTTCAATTCTTGTTTTTCTGCATGGGTCAGGTTATGGACTTGGTCGCGCACCAGACTGAGGCTTTATGGAGGCCTTCGTCAGGTACAACACACTGCTCGTCCCTCATGATGAAGTCTTTAATTTTGCCTTTTTCCGGACTGCCGGCCTGGACCATGTCAGGAGCTAGGCACATGCGTCGCGGCCTATTGCGTGTGACGGCTACGTGATGAAGTCTTTGACTTTTCTATTTTTCAGGACTGCCGGCCTGGACCCTGTCAGGGGCTGGTCACATGAGCCGCGGTCTGCTGCGTGTGACGGCTAGGCATGAGCGTCCCTCATACTGAGGTCTTTGATTCTTCTATATTTCAGTGGCAGCAGTCTGCAGGTGGCCACGGGTTACTGCAATTTTTGACGATGTCGCGTTTAATCCCATACGGACCAGCACGATTCCAGTCCAGTGAGTTTTGAGCAAACACTCTTTTCGTCGCCAGCGACCTCGAGTGGTAGCTGCCGGCCGAGTACCACAGTTCAGGTCCACCAATTTTTCCGTTGCAACTTGATGTCTGACCCTCCTGGCGGTCTGCCGGAAGCCAGATGATTTGCAGCTGTCGGCTTGGCTAAATGCTCTGGCAATGAGCAAAAGGAGTGGTGCTGTCTGCCGGATAACACTGCGTCCATGTCCATTTTCCAGCCACATTTTTTTGACTGTCTCTGATGGCTGCTGTCTGCATAAGGCCAATGCTTTTGCGGCTGTCGGCTTGGCTAAATACTCTAGTCATGAGTCCAGATACCCTTCGTCAGTGACATTGCGGAGCAATGGTAGGTCACTGCCACTGCGTTTGATCAATTTTGCAGTACAAGAGTTGGACCTCTTTGGGTTACTGCGCATCATTTGGTTTTCTCAGTCCGTGGGCCGCCTCATTGCCTTCTCTCACAGCAGCATATCACGCGTCGGCGCGCGGTGACCATTGCAGCGTGTGCTCACACGTGGGCAGTCAATGTTCACGCTGCATCCGTGGCAAAGGGGGCCATACCCCGCGGCTCGGGGCTGCGATGTCGTCCCTGCATGGCCCCCCCCCAGTCGGCCTGGTGTCCAATTGCTGCTTCAAGTTTTCAACTTTTCCTCTTCCGTTTTCACGAATGTCCGTCATTTCAGTCAGAGAGCCTAGTTGTTGTTTTCGGTCTCTCTCACAACAATGCGGTG